TCCCCGGTTAAAGCTTATATTAATTGATACATACAAAGAGCTTGCAACAATTTTCAGCAAACCAGTATTGAGTGTACAGACCTTGATCTGCATTCAATTGCATATGGGGATTTTATTCACAATTACCACAGATAGGGATAAAAGAGATATTTTAGTGATTTCTAATTGATAATTTAGTTTGGAGTGTGCCATCTGCTGCTGTGCAATACTAATGGTTATGTCTGCTGTAAATTTGGCTTTCTCCCTGTTTCACTTCAGAGTCTTGGTCTCTGATCATCTACATTGCGTTGTAAGTTGACTCCAACTACAGCACATCTAACAAGATAATTCTCTTCAAATGCAGATGAGGCAGTTTCAAACTGTACCAAGTTTGTCCTGTCAGCTCAAGATAATTCTTCAGGACTTTGCAGAGTTATACTCACAAACATATACATGTAAATATAAAGATCCAAATATACAATGAAAATCAATTATTCTCCACCAATTTAACTTGCATAGAATAACTTGTCTCCAGATCTGGTAGCATCAACAAATGGACTTTTGAACTGTTAGTTACTGCATCCCTCATGAAAGGGATAGGAAGAGCTTTAGAGTTCAGTTCAAAATTCTTTTCAAAGCTGTTTAAACATACAAATCTAATTTAACATCTGTGTGAAAGGACTGAAAATGCCACAGCATAGCTGTAAGTGACATCTCTGGAGAATAAGCGTTTTTAAACACTCACCTGAGTAGTGTACACATATACCCTTATGGTGAAACAGAATTGATATAAAAATACTTTGTCCTTCATATCATCCATCATCTCCTCTGCTTGACATGATGGACAAACTAATTAGAATTGAAATCCAAACAGTAAGACTAGATCTGGAAAAATGCACAGAGAAGGCCAAGAAGGATGGTACTTGGAGGTGTCTCTGCAATAGGTGTTATGGATGCTAAAAGCTTAATGAACTCAAAAAGAGATGGGACGAGTCCATTGAGAGCCATTAAATATGACACCTCCTTTGGTATAGTACGTCCCTGAGCCACACAGGGTGGGAGTCTTGCAAGACTACTTGCTGAGTATTTGAGATGTGATATCTCCTAGATGGTGTTACTTTAGCATAATTCAGGGACTTTTATTTCTGTTTTTTAGTTGCAACTTCCAATGCATCTGGAATTTGTGTTTTTCTAACTCCTTATTCTGCACTTTGGGTGAGAAGTCAGCATTATTCCTTTCAGCTGAAAAGGAAACCTTGTTTCTGAGGATGGAGATTTTCCTGTGCTCATATATTAACCAAGTTATGCCTCAATTTTTAATCAGAAGGCAAATTGACTCCTTTAATCTTTCTTTAATTGAAAGTTATGGAAAATGCCACTTGACATGCATGAAATGAGCAGTGGAGTTTTCCAAAAGTAAAAGACTTCTTTTTATACTTTCATCTCTGGTATTAATGCAATCAGAAATATTACTTCATGAATAGAAATTACAATGCATTATTTGAATAGAGTTTAATTGTCTCTAGAATGAAATGTTAAATTCTTGAGTAGATGCAGTTTCAGGCTGTTGCTTTTAGGAATTCACTCTTTAGATTACTGCCAAGGTGTTCTACTAGATTAAGGGTTCCTGAGTTAGGAATGTTTTTAAATTAGTTCTGTCCAAACCAAAGCGTTTCTTCTAGCACTGGTTAGCTGCAGTTTCCAACTTTTACATCACAGGTCATTAGTCCTAGACAGATTAGCCTAAAACATTGGGCTTAAAATCAAAGTGCATACATGAGAAGGAATTTTTTCATATATTAGGCACTATAAAATGAATGAAGAAAATGCAAATCACAGTTGTCTATGCTAATAGAGCCTTTTTTGACAGAGCATGGAAATTTCAGCTTTGCTCCTGGGTTACTAAACACAATGCCTGGCTTCTTGAATACGTTCTCTTTGTGAGCAAAAAAAGTGTATCAAGTTGGATTGCAGTGATTCCCAGAGCTCTTTTTTTCTTGAAGTAAAATTGCAAATATTAATCTTTCAGGTTTTTAAAAGGATTTATAGCAGGAAAATGTTGGCATCAACACGAGATGAACGTATGCCTTCACTCTGAACTCTGGTGCTTTTGAACAACTATTTGCTAATGGTATAGTTCAGTTAAATGCAAAACACATTCATATGTATTTGAAATTTAATCAAAATGTTTGCCCTTACCAGTTACTGTTAGAAAAACACTTTGTATCATATGAATCATTGCTATGAAGCAAACTCAATTCTAAAGTAATAATTATGAATATGCTTTTTAAAAAAAACCCATTGAGTAAATTTTATTCCTAAACCTTAAGGCCAGATGCCTACAATTGAAAGACGGTGCAAAGGGCAACATACACTGGCACAAAGCAGGAATCCAGTCTGGGCAATAGGGTATTTTACCTGAGCGTCTTTGTTGTTAAGACTTCTCAAATGTAGGGGACTTACTCTGAGGCAATGGGCATGGATGATTTAAAAAAAAAACCAAACAAAAACAAACCACAATTTATCTCCTTAGCATGGGCACCTGACATGCTAAGTATGGCTAAAAGTATTGCACAGGAGGCGAAGTATAAGTAGGTCAGTGTAATGGCAGCATTATGCAAGACTTTATTTTCCATATGAATATGCTGTTGCAGAATTGTACTGTGGAAACTTGGGATCTTTTAAAATTGAAGTTAATGGTCTCAGCCTTTCTGAATGGTTATAACCCTTTTCCTCCATTTTAATTTCTCCAAAATATAGTTTTATTGACAATAAAAGGGAAAAATCCAAATCAGATACATATTTTGCAGTTTTCTTTTCTCTCTAGCAAGTCTAAGTAATTTTAAGTTACTTTTCAGTGCCTCAGTTCAATTACTAAAGTATTTTGAAAGGTGATACATAGATTATTTTAAAGGAAGCATGAAGAAATTGTATGAAATAATCTTCTTTGGTTACTTAGGAATTTGTTTACTTTAGTTAAGGTGGTATTATTACAGATCACCACTGAAAAAAACACCTATGGACCTTAACCTGCAAAGACTTAATGTGTGTGCTTTTATCTAACCATCCACAGAGCCACCTTGCAGAAACTGAAATTATGATATGTTTTTGAAAGATAGAGGAAAAAATAAAATAAATAGTGCAGTTTGGAAAACATTTGTTCCCATGTTTAATATGCCTGTTCCGATAGAAATGTTAAGAACAGGAGTCAAACTTGACTATCAGTAGAGCTCAAAGCCTAATCACAAATTTCAGATACAACAAACACAGCAGCATTCACGGAAGAGGAAGAAGGTTTGCCCGAAGACTGTCCTACAATACCATATCCAGTCTTGAATTCTCATGCAGTTTTTATTGTCTGCTGAATGTTCATGGCTAAAAAGCATCTTAAGAATCTAATGCAAACTTGTCGGTATAAACAAAAAAGCCAGAATAATTCCTCTCCCACAAGAGACATTTCCAAGAAGTTCCAAGTCAGAATTATTTTTGTATCTTATCAAAATGTCTTTTTGCACCTGAATGCTACACACAAAAAGAATTACCCTGTGTTTTAAAAGTTCTGTTTTTCTGAATAGGCCTTTTTAGATTTCCATGAGTATGTATGTTAAGTCCATCATTTGATAGGTATAATGAGCTCACTAAGAATAGACCATGGAAAAGGTCTTTATAGAAAAGCTTGTGTGAGTCTGTAAAGAGTGTATTTAAAGCTCAGTTACTTCAACCTTACTTTTAAAAAACCCCAAAACAGTAACACCTTTTAAACTTCGTTTAACCTTGATCTTGATATAATTCTTGTTCAGAAGTGTTTCTGGACTATTTCCATGTTTCCACCATGTTTCTAAAATTTTATTTTATTTTTTCATTTTCCTAAAATTGTGTTTATGTTTTTATACGTTCTCATTTATTTATTTATGAAGTAATTTAAAATGTCTGGTTGCATCCAACTGTAGTATTTCAGGAAAAAAAATATTGAAATTCCATGTTACAGAAAAACATAATATTGCTTGTACTGGTGAAATACATATTACTGGTTCTTTTCTCAAAGGATCATTCATGTAGCTAGGATATATATGAACTAAAAATCCCAATATTTCAATATACTTTGTAAGCATCGTTTTAATTAGTGAGATCTGAAATTTAGTTCATGTTCTAGGCATTAAAGAGCAGAACTGTTGCAGTGCTCCATTTGCATTTGATAATGTTTTTGATCTGAATGCTAGGTTCACTCAGTATTTTGTTTTAGAGTATGTATTAGAAATGCAAAGTGAATGTGGCCAGTGCCGCCTTTCTTGTATTGTTCTTCTTTGAATACTGAAGCAATGCATAGAATGCTATTTCACCTGAATGATTAAATTATCTTTTTCTCTGACTCTTCATTGCTATTACTATAGTGATCTACCCTATAAGATCATCTTATTTCTTGCAGATGAATGATGCTATGGGATTTGAATTGCCATGGGTGTATTTTGTCAGTCTCGTCATCTTTGGGTCATTTTTCGTACTAAATCTTGTTCTTGGTGTATTGAGCGGGTAAGCATACACCTTTTTCATCATGAAGGCAGAGTCCTGAATTCAGTTGCCATGAACACACAGGTTATCTTATGCAGGTGAGACTTCAGTTGTGATGACATCTTTTGATAAACTTCTATTTCTTCCTCCTGTAATTAGAACAGAAACAGTTTTCTGTAGCTATCGTATAAGTAACATACAAATACCAAAATCAGAGTTTAGACGTACCAGTATATATTCTTCATGTCCGTATTTGTGGCAAAATTATAAAAAGGACTAATAATTCTCCTTCAGTTATTTAAATGTTATTTTAATTCATCTTCTAAGGCATCACTTCTACAACATAATTTGGGTAAGTAAAGAAATTAAATATTCATTATTATTTTTTTTTTTTAAGAACTGAGTAAGCCATAAACTTTCAGTGTTGAAACCTACGTGATCTGGCAGCTGCAAAAAGGACTCTGCTGTTTAATGAATGACTGAATCATAACTTATTTCCTTACATTTTACAGGTAAATGATGCAATAGGATGTGAATGGCCATGGATCTATTTTGTTAGTCTTATCATCCTTGGCTCATTTTTCGTACTTAACCTGGTTCTTGGTGTACTTAGTGGGTAAGCAGTTGAGTTAACATTGTGTATGCTACTGCTACTTGTAAGATGGCCTCTGCATTTACTCGAGCTTCTCAGCGATGGCTTTTTTGCATGCCCTTGAGATTCTTATGTCGTCCTACCAGTGTTTGCTCTTTTGACTGAACTGTGTGATTCTAGTGCCTGTATCTGTCTGACATCACATTCACCATGCTTGCCAAAAACATTCATTAAATGAGGCACTAATCTCCTTATTCTATAATATTCCAGCAGGGAGTAACATTACTTTGCACAGAGAGATGGGTAGCGCACATGTAGAAATATTCTTCCCTGTAGTTGTAGACAGTGTGTCCTTTTCTGAAAGCCCAACTTTTGCTTTTGTTCAAATATCCATAAAGTAATTTAAGTGTTATTTGTGTTTACCGGTCACATTGCAAACTATTTTTAATGAGCACTTCAAGATCTGTCTTACAGAAAGAGTATGACTAGGTTACCTTGACACACTGTTTCGTGCTTGCTGCGTTGTAGAGCTGTGAACTGCTGTGACAACCTGCACCAGCAAGATGATATATTTATCAATAATCAAGTATCAATTTAATATACTTGTCCGTGGGAGGTTGTCAAAGCTTTTTGTTGATTTGTGTACTCCAGGCACCAGCCAAGAACTGAAGTGGTGTCAGTTGTAGCTGTATAATGTGATTTAAAACTGTAGTTTATGGCAACACTGTGTAAGGTTTTCTTCTTACAAAGCCCCCTTACTGAGGTTACAGCTCCACATCCTTTGCTGTTTCCTGGTTTCTAACACACTTGAGCTTGGGAAACTCCAGTTCATGGTAAAGATATTTTTCTGATAAATAAATAAAACGTCCTGCTAGAATTTGAATACTAAAGGAAAATTATGATAATTGTATGTATTAGCTTTTAGTTACACAACAGACGATATTCTGGCAATCTTAGGCAAGCTGTGCCGTCTTTGTTAGCCAACAGAAAAACTTCTCTTGCATAGAAAGCCTGACACCATGGTTAGTGGTGTCATCAGACTGCTGATTGTGTGTGCAGCCCTATTCACGGCTTTGCCATGTTGAACATTAGATATGAAAGGAATTATAATGCATTATTATATTCCTGGAAATCAGGCAATCAAACAAAATTTCAAGTTGCTGATATAACAACTCTGTTACAAGAGTGTTTTTATCTGATGAGTAGTTTTACAATGTGTTTTTTAAAATCATAAGTCATTTATCTGTGTTAGATTAGTCGCACACAGGAAACTAGGGAAAGCAAAGTTTTACCTTACTGTCAATTGCTTTGCAAAGCAGATGTTTAAAAGCAAAGAGATAGTGCTAAAACCACATTGCTGATTTTTAGATTTAATCTCTTCCTTCCAGGACCTACCCTGTAAAGTCTGGTTTTATGCAGTTGTATTGGCTTTATTTTATTCAGGAACAAATGGAACAAATTCAACAACAAATTGTTGCAAAACTAAGGGCCTAGCTTTCATGTCACAGCCACACAAAAGAAGAAGGACAGATAAATGAGGGTAGTTGCGGTATAATTTATTTCTTCTTTTGGAACTGTTACCTAGGGTTGCTGTGTGACTAGACTTCCCACTGCAGTCATTAGAGGATTAGGTTTTCACGGTTCCTTTCCCTGGCCCTTAAGAAGGTCATGAGCAGCAATTAGTTTTCTTCCTGTTGTGTGAAGGTGTCTTGTGCTAACAGTTAACTAAATATTTCCCTTTTCCCTTGCATGAGTCAAGTTGTTATTGGTTTCAGGTTTTTATGTTATTTTTAAAAATAAGTTGTGGGGAAGGTAATGCCAGATTTGGTATTTTGTTGCACGTGTTCATTTCTTCTACTGAAGCCTTGGAAATTTAGAAACAGTCTCACAGCTAAGCTTTACATTTGACTTAATACATTTAAAATACTTTATAACGTTTGCAATGTTATGATACGTATATTTGTTGGAATATGAAGTTGTTCTTTAGCTGCTGTTACAATACAGGGGAAGAGGTGTCCCCTTGTCCTTGGGTTCCATTCTGCAGACAAGAAATCACCACTCACTTCTAGGTATTGCTTGCTCCGTAGAGCTCTAATGCTCTTCAGAACCCTTGCTGGCTTGCCTTTGATTTCCAGCGAACAGAAATGGCAGTGTCAAGTGTGATGTGAACACTCCTTAAATTCATTCACTCCTGAATTTATTTTCTGCCATAGTTTCACCTAACTGCAGTGTCACTTGAGTGCTCAAGGTGCTTAATGAATTGTTTGAATTCATGTTTGCCCTAAAGATGTGAAAGACTTCCTATCACTCCTTTTTTTTCCTATTGTTTTTTGTTTTCTGTGCTGAAAAAATGATACTAGTGAACCGAGACATGTGACATTAAAAGCAGAAGGAGAAAGGAAAAGAGAGTAATCCTGAAAGATACCTATGATACCAAAATAATGTTTGGTACATAAGTGAACAAAATGTCTTGGCATACTTGTTTGAAACTCTGACAAGGGCCAGTGTGGAATACTGTTACACTGATTTATTTTGATCACTAAATGCTGTCTGTATATAAATAAAAAATATTTTTCACATACGTTCTATTTAGACCTACCTGTCTAAATTTTATGGGTAAAAATGATGTACTAGTAAGAGCCTATGGGAAAGCTAGTATTTTTCATTCTGAGCCAAGTGTTGGATATATAACACATGCATTCTTTGTTTTTATTTAAGAGTTATTAGCTTTTATGTTTTATGCTCTTCAAACCATAGCATGAAATTTGGTTTATGATAAACCTACAAAGAAAGTTAAACTTTACTAAACCAATCAAACTTCAAGAATGCAAAAATTATGCCAACTTACTTGAAAAGCATGGCTTTGCATACAGATTTTGGAAATGAAATCTGAGTGCCTAATACGCCTTTTCTGTATGAAAGTGTTACTTCCTGTAATATCAAGGTATGCTGTGTACATTTAAATCTGTCTGCTGTTTTGATCTGTTTGCAGTTTTAAAATATTCATTCATTCTCTTTGCACTCCTTTGTTATTCTGTGACCATCTGCCCCTTTGTATTTCTGTAATGCCTCTTGTGCACTGCATGTTTGATGTATTTAGATACTGTACAAATGGATGAGAATGATGATTGGGGAGATCTTTTGTTTTACATCTAGCCGTTTCTGAAGGTGAGTATTTCCTGGTGATCCATGTCAGTTTTGCCTGCTGAAGGTGACATTCTTAAAAATAGAGTTCATATTTTTAATAACAGATATGTAAATTAATAGAAGTAATATATGTGTGTGGAATCTGCATGTGGTAAATATTTTAATTTCTGTATGGAAACTGACTGTGGAGATTTTTTTCTAAATATTCTCTTGAGTAACAAGGATGGAGAGAATTCATAGGCTTGAGGCAATTCAGCTTTTTCAAAATACTCCATTTTTTACTCTGTATTAGACACTAATATTATTCACATTATTCTGAAAGTGAATTCTCAATTGAAAAGCTATTTCAGTTTGCAGGACTCTACAGGAAAAGGCGTTCTAGAAAAAGACTCCAGGTCAGGTTTTAGAAATGGCTTCAGATCCCAGCTCAGGCTCTAGTTCCATCTCAGAAATTATGGAGCCAGCTTTAAAAAAGACACCAAAAATGGTTCCAGCTCCAGCGATGACCTATACAAATTGTCCTAGACCCAGCTCTAGATATGCCCTTCAGAAACAGGCTCTAGATTCAGCTCTAGAAAGGGATTGTGAGATAAGACGCTCTAGTGAAGGCCTCTACAAAGAGCTCCGGAAAGGGCTCCAGAACATGCTGTAAATCTATCTCCAGTAAATGGCAATTCAGCCTAGATCCAGCTCTGGAAAAGACCTCAAGAAATGGCCCTGGTCCCGCTCTGGGAAAGGGCTCTAAAAACTGGCCTAAGATCTATTTCTGGAAAGTGCTTTAGAGCCAACTACAGACGTGGCTTGAGGAAAGGGCTCTACTGATGGCTCTTGGTCCAACTCCAACAGAGGGCTCTGAAGAAGGCTGTAGCTCTGACCTGAGAGCAGACCTGACAAACAGCTCCTCCCTAAACTTATTAGAAAAAAATGGCTCTAGATCCAGCTCCAGAAATGTGTTTGGAAGTGTGCTTCAAAACACATGCATGTTGGTGATTTCTTTCAGCAGAGTGAATTTCTTAGGAATCTAGCCAGACACCTGGAACTGTCAGTTGATCTTTCACAATAAAACTGCATTTTTTGAATTCTTTCAATTTTTGGAAATACAGAGCAAAATGCTTGCAGCTTTGGAAAGCTGCCATAGATGCGTTCAGATATCTTTGCATTTTCACTATCTTGTGCTGGTCTGCATTTTGCTCATTCACATTACAAATTTAAAGCTATATGTGGCTCCAAATAATTGTTTCAGCCCCTAGAAATCGCAGGGTGATCATGACATGCTCACACTATTTGGATTGCTATGTCTTTTGAGCCAGCAGCAGGGAGTAGGTCCAGTCTGTAGGAGATACCACTTCACACTTGATGGAACGGCACAGAAATTGCCACTGAGGAGCTGCCCAGCAATTCTAGATCTGTGAAGGGTGGTGGATGGCTTCAGGAGCCTGCTTTTACATGTAGCTTTGGTTACACAGTGTGTGTAACAGGCATAAACTGGACGTGTGTTCTCTGAAGCCGTGAAATACTTGGCACAGAAATTGGGAGCTGAGGACAGGCCTCCTCCAAATATTCCAGGTTAAAAGACCAGAGCATATAATGAGTATTGGTGCAAGAGACAGTGAGCTACAGTTAGGAAGTTAAGTTAGAAATTGTGAAGTTAAGGTTTTTAGAAAGTTAACAAATAAAGCTAAGTCTTAAGGGAATTGAGATACTCATCCACCCTGAAAGTACCTTTAAAAGTGTGTTGAAAGTTAAAATAAATATGCCAGTAATTCAGCATGCATTAAACTGTTTTACTATGAACAGAGAAAATAATAAATTATAAAACTTCATAACTCATTTATCAAGAGGCATGGCTTTTCATGAGGCATGATAATCTATTCCTC